AACAAAACACTAGTTTAGCAGAAACAGAGCAAACATTTTTTTCCAATTTGCTTCTCCTATCAACAGTGAGAACTTGACATATTAACAGAGTACCTAAATTACAGGCTTCGGTAAGAATTTTGGATATTAACATTCAAATACTACCTTAAAGGGTTAACATCAATAAAAGATAGACTGAAATTTGAATTAAACTGTTTTGTATGCCAGGCATGAATAGATTCCTTCATGAAAAAAAAAAATTGAACAATCACTGACCTCCCCTACCAGAAGCATGTCTTCCTGCGGTTTTACTCGGGTCAGATATGCGTCCTCTTTCTCTCCATTTTCCTGAGAAGCTTCCACCACCTCTTCCTCTTTTCCAGCTTTGAAATCTTCCTCGTCCAAATCCTCTGCCTCGATACTCTCCACTCATGTTTTCTAAAAGACAAGAGATTAGGAAAATCTTCATCAAAATTATAGAGGAAATAGTGCTCCTAAAAATGCATTAACTAGTAAGTGAAAAATAATATATTCTAGTTTGACACTAGTCAACAGGCTTACAACTCTGTACGCCATGATATAAACCCCTTACTCTTCTAATCTGCAGTTACTCTTCTAATCCCCATTTCTTTTTAACATATACCACAGGTGTTTAACCAAGTATACTGGATGCTCATGAGATAGAAATAAAAGGTACTGTACCAGTTTTCGAGGCGTTCCCACAATAGAAAAGAAAGCAAGACAGGTAATTAACTCTAAGATAACTTGTTTGCAGTGTTTTGAGACTTATTATAGGGCAGCACTTGCTGAACATAATCCTGACCTGTGAGACACTACGAATACATCATCATAGCTCCTTCTCCATAGTCAATCTTGCAGTGTCATAACCACTTTTATCAGAAATACAGTGATATTCTTACATAGGCATCGAAGGTAGATCTTTCTGGGAAAGCACAGGAATGAGACATGTTTCAACCCTTCTTTCTCGGTAGGGGCCCAAATGGAAAAGATGTAAATTTTCTAGGAGACTTCTGTAACTGTCTTAAAAGACAGTGGAAGCACGATTAAATCTAGGTCAATACTGATTAGATGTGTTATTTGCAGTTTTTAGATAAATTTCTTGAAATGCAAGTTTTTTGGAAAGCATGACCATACCTGTTAATGTTATAATTATCATCTTTTTCGTTAATCATCCCTTCACAATTTTTCTATTTTGTATATAGCAAGATAGTCACTTTTATTAAATTTAAACCCATATAGTTCCTAGTTGAGTATCAATAAATTGAAATATAAGTGACCTTTAAAAATGGGTTTTAAAATAATTAATACAGGTGGAGCACAGGGCATTTTTAGGGCAGTGAAACCATTCTGTATGATACTGTAGTGGCAAGTATGTGACATTATGCATCTGTCAAAACTCATGGACCTGTACAACACAGAGTGAACCCTAATGTAATCTACGGTCTTTAGCTAATAATAATGTATTGAATTTGGCCTATTAACTGCAACAAATTTATCACACTAATGCAGGATGCTAATCGGGGGATTTGAGGGGGGATAGATATGTATGGGAACTCTTTGCGCAATTTTTCTGTAAACCTAAAACCGTTCTAAAAAAGTCTTTTAATACCCTAAATATAAAAATATATCCGTATACAGCAATGCAGTTCATTACAAGAGTGTGTATCTGAATCTTTCTTTAAAGGGGGTTTCAGTAATTGAATTAATAACTAAATAAGTTCATGATGTTAGGGCAAGACAGGACTTTGACAATCGTCTAGACCACATAACACGTTAAGGAACTAAAGCAGAGAGAAACTGATCAACATCAAGGTTCTCTGGTGGCAGGCCTGCGTTCAAAACCCCGTCCTCAGACTCCCCCGCTGCAGCGCTCAGTCGACAGCTCTACGTGCCCTTCCTCAAATGAGATAGTGGGGGTAAAAATTACTGGTAAAAATTCCAACACAAATGCAAGAAGGGCTGGAAAATGAGTCAAGGCGCCATCCGTGGGCCTGCTGTGCTTCGTTACATACCCTCCTTCACTTACGCGTCCTCAGGCTAAGTCCTCACCGGCGAAGGATAGAGATCCCAAAGCTTTCCTACTTCACGCCAGGGCCGGCTCCGGGGAGAAGCAGATCCGCCCGGCCGGCTCGCCCTCTCGGGGAGAAGCACGGCGGGGCCGAGGAGGCGCCGAGGTCCTCAGGTGGCCCCCGGCCCACGTCCCGCGGTTCTCTTCAGCTGCCGCTCTCCTGACGTGCCCGCGCGGGGCGAGTCTCCTCTGCCGGAGCAGCTCAGGTGCCTCAGAGTCTTCTCCCCTTAGGCCTCGAAGACTCGCGGAAAGACGCGGAGCACCTCAAGCTGACGGACGCTCAGCCTCCTTCCAAATTCTTTTTTGGCGCTCCTGTGACGCAACTTCCTTCCAAGGAGCGGCGAGGCGGAAGGGGCGGGACAGAGTGCAGTCAATCAAGGAGTTCGGCCAGACGGAAAGCCTGAGGCTCCCGGAAGCTGTGCGGAGGAGCTGACCGGAAAGCGGAAGCGGCGCTCAGCACGTGGGGGCGGTGCCGGTCGGAGGCTTCTGCGTCCTCTGTGTTTGTGGGAACTGAAGCTGGCTGCAGCTACCGCTGAGGGCGAGGGGCGCGGGGCGGGGCGCTGGAGAGCGGCTGCGGAGTTTGGAGACCCGCTGGGCGTCATGGAGGGCTCGGGGGACCAGCCGGACCCACAGCCACCGCATCCCGGGGACCACCGCATCCGCGACGGCGACTTCGTGGTGCTGAAACGGGAAGATGTATTCAAAGCCGTGCAAGTCCAGCGGAGAAAGTGAGTCAGGTCGCTGACCTTAGGGGTCCAACGCCCCATCTTCTAGATACCCCCTGTCTTCAGGTCTTCCCACATACCGCTCTCAGCAGGCTCCCAGTCTTGGCTCTCTGGATCCTTAGCTCCCTCTCTAGTTACCTCCTGTCAGATCTTCCCACGGAGGTTTTCCCTCAGGATCCCATGCTCGGCCCTCAGGGTCTCCCCTACCCCTCCTGTCTATGCAGAGTCCGCCTTCAGCATTCTCCTCAGTCTTTCCACAGAGTTCCTTTTCCACTTTTGGCCCTGGAGTGCTCGGGTACCCCCGCTCACCTCACCTCCTGTCCTGGGGCTCTTCCCCTAGGTTCTTAAGATCTCTCCTGTTTTCTCACAGCACCCACCCTTCACCCTCTGATCTCATCCACCCTTCTCCCGTTGACCCTTCCTCCCTAACCCCTCAGCCAGGTTCAATCCCACAAAAATGAAACCTCTCCGACCTTGTGTGGTCTTCTGGGCTCTTCTCTCTACCTGAAAGGACTACCTGTCTACACTGAATAGCTTCCTATAGAATGTGTGATCACTGTAAGATTCCAAATTTTACACCAGGGCATGTGTGGTTTGTTCAAGTTAAATCGCCCAAACGCAGTTTGCTCAAGGTCTCAGAACTTGAAGTTAGGTTTGGTTTGTGAACCTGCAGGTTAATTACCACTCTGATTTAGTATTAGAAGAGTGGGGAATTTGATAACTTTTAGCAGGGGTGGTGAGGTTGCTAAGTCCCAATTGCTGATTAATGGTGAAAATGTATTGGGGTGTTTTGGTTAATTATCTGAAAAGTACAACCAAGCTTTCTTTTGAATTGGGTTGTTAAAGTGCTTTTGACAAAGATGTAAGTTCAATGCAGTGTCAAGAAAACAGCTAGCAGACCATGAGTCTAGGGATTGTGAGACTTGGAATTTGTGATAAGTGCTCAGTTCAGATGAATTATTTCACTTTTTTGTAACTGGTATTGAAAGTGAAATAGATGTCATAAGAAAATAGTCTAGTGACAGTCCCCAGAGCACCAAATAATGACAACCAAGCTTTTTTGCACAAGCACTAATCCACTAAAGAAAAATAATACAAGTGGAGAGGGATTTTAGTCCAGAAATGTAACATCTGCACCAGCATTAAGGCATTTTTAAATTTTCCGTTGATAAAATATTCATTTTGGTGGTTGAAATTAGAGAAATTTTATAATATAGTCATCATTACTACAGTATTTTTGTATGTGTCTTCCAGGAATCAGAGTTCTTATCAATGTGGGCGGTGTCCTGAAGCTAGGCAGGACTTACTGAGACCCATTGGTCTTTGGAAGACTGTATGATATAGTGAAAAAAACACACACCAGGCTTTGGGGGCAGGCAGACTTGGATTTGAATCCTAGCTTCCACTTTTTACTGTGAATCTTGGACAAGACACTTTTCTGTGAGCCTCAGGTTGCTCACCTAGAAAGAGCTGTACCCCAGGATAGCTGCAAGAATTAAACCAAAAAGCATGAAACTCCTGGCATATACTCCCTAGCTCCTGATTGACACTCAGCAGATGTTAGTTTTCTTCTTAAGAAAGGAAAGGTTTTTGTTTTTGTGGGATTTTCCTGTAAAATTGTAATAAGATAAAAATCTGAACAATGGGATCTTGTTTGTAATGGGCCATTCTCAATAAATGTTATTCTCACCGAGAAGGAAAAAAAAAAATCTGGAGAATGGGAAAAGCTAAAATCATCTGGTCCTCAGCAGAACACCATCAGTGTTAGGAACCATTTCCAAATGTATGTAATGTCAGTAATGTTTATTTGTAAATGTAATTTTCTTTTACTAGATAATTTTCAAGGAAAATTTAGGCTTGGGAATTAGTTAAATCCCTGTCACCTCAATGACTGTTCAGTTTTGAGATCTTTTTATGTAAGTTGTGAGGAGTGTCGGTGTGTGCCAGTCGCCTGGCAATCTTGGCAACCCTTTATGCTATTTAGGAAGTCTGCAAAGCCTGTCAGACTGTGCTAATTGGAGTCAGACCAGTCCAGTTGCTGTGTCTCAGTGGTTGAGTGTCAACCTATGAGCCAGGAGGTCACTGGTTCAATTCCCTGTCAGGGCACATGCCCGGCTTGATCCCCGGTGAGGGGCCTGCAGGAGGCAGCCAATCAATGTTTCTCTCTCATCAATGTTTCTATCTCTCTGTCCCTCTCCCTTCCTCTCTCTAAAACCAATTTAAAACACACACACACACAAAAAGTATTTTAATTGGAGTTAGATCAGTGCCTCAGAAGAGGACTGTCTTGTTTCTCATTTCAAAGTCAGTGTTTATGTGGCCTTGTTGTTAATGTTGCCTCTGCCCCAACCTGAACCTGATTCTTTCTAGTTCATGTTCAGATATAATGCTGTACATCGCCCTTTGTGTAGATCAGTTTTGAAATAAACTAGGTTGAACATATCTTTTCTATACAGAATGCAAATGAGATTTAGCTAATTGAATGCATTTTCTTCCCCAGAAAAGTAACTTTTGAAAAACAGTGGTTCTATCTGGATAACGTCATTGGCCATAGTTATGGAACCACATTTGAAGTGACCAATGGAGGAAGTCTTCAGCCTACGAAGAAAAAGGAAGAGCCTACTTCAGGTGCACTACTTCGGTGTATGAAATAGGTGCTCTTGAGCTGGCTAGTCAGAAATCTGCCAACCCCAATTAGTTCTAAAGTGCTAGCCCAGCCAATCTCCAAAGAAATCTAAACTCATAATCTAAGAACTAGCATGGTGGAATGAAGCAAGGTCTGCCTTTGGCTTTGAGGTGCTTGAATTCTGGCTCCAGCCCATCATTAACGAACTCTCTGACCTTGGGCCAGGCATTTAATCCCATGAGTCCTTGCTGCTTCAGTGTAAGAGCAGATGCAGAGCTCTGTCAGTGCCCAGAAGCTAAGTAAAAGCTTTGAGGTAGTTAACATATTGGGTGGAGATTAAGAGGTCTGGCTTTGAATTGAATTCAGCTGACTAGGTTTAAGTTTCAGCTCTATTATTTGCCTTGTAACCTTGGACAAGTTATTTAGTTTCTCTAAGTCTTATATCCTCATCTGTAAAATGGAGCTATAAACATTTAATACCTAGGCTATAGGGAGCATTGTCATATGACACATAAAAAGTTCTTAATAGTGCTTTGCTTATAGTAAAGCCCCCATAATTTTAGCTGTTATTATTAACTAAAATACTTAAATAAATAAATATCGGTAAAACATTTTATTAATAAAGTAGATATTAAATAATTTTAAAATTAAATAATTAAAATACTATTAAAGTTCTGGTTCAAACCAGTTAGTTAAATATTTTTAAATTGGCATCCCTGTTTTTATCAAGTACCAAACATATTGGTACTTGGTTAGTCATTGATTAGTCATTGCCATTATAGCAGTTCATGAGATGGATCATCTCATAAAATTTATGAGTGGGGAACACCAAAAATAATCTAGTAGCTAAGCAAACAGCATAATTTCAGATGGTGATGTGTGCTATGAAGATGACAAAGCAGGGGGTTTATTGGAGGCTGATTGGATGAGGTGAGACTTGGCTAAGATGATGAGCTCAGCCCTGAGTGATGGAATGGATCCATCCACTCACATCTGTCAGCATTGCAGGCAGAGGGAGCAGCAGTTACCAAAGCCCTGCAGTGGAACCATGCTTAAGGGTTTGGGAACAGAAAGAAGGGCAATGCAGTTGAGTATGGGGTCAAAAATGAGGCCAGAGAAAGGTAGCCAGGGGCCAGATCATATACAACTTTGCAGGTCATCTTTGGATTATATTCTAATTGCTACAGGAAGCCGTGATTTTGTGCATCAGAATAGATGAGCCAATTTGCATTTTAAAGAGAACCCTGGTGTCCAGGTGGATTGTATAGGGCCAAGAGTGGGAGCAGGAAGGTGAGTTAGAGGCTTAGAGTAGTCATGGCAAGATAGGATAGTAGCTGAGGTGGAACCGGAAGACAAATTTGCATGTACATTCCAGTAGAACTGGAAGGCCAAATTTGAGTGGCTAATGGGCTGGATGTGGAAATGAACTTAGAAGAAGGAAGATTTTAAAATAATTTCAGATCATAAATGTCATAAAGCAATTTCCTTCCTTAGAGACCAAAGAAGCGGGCACTGATAATCGAAATATAGTTGATGATGGGAAATCTCAGAAACTTACTCAAGATGACATAAAAGCTTTAAAGGACAAGGGCATTAAAGGAGAGGTAATATTCAAAGGATATTGTGTTTTGTTTTTGTTTGGTATTCAGGGAATTGCTTGGTTTTTAAAGCAGAATTTACCTAAGGTAAAATGTAAACATACTGCATACTTGTTAGAAATAGCTTGGAATGTACATGCAATTCAGTATATCAAAAATTTCATTTCTTACATGTAGGAATGTAAGCGAATCACGTTGCTAATATTGTTAGCAAGAGAAAATTTAATAATGCATATTAGAGCTTAACTTTATTTTCAGTAATGTTTTCAGCCAGTGTCTTCAAGAATGACAGTTTCCTTTCCCTCACTTTTTATTGTATATCTCTGTTCTTTTATCTTGGTTTAAATGGAGTTATAAAGTACTTGTATTTTAATGCACATTCTAGAGTAAAAAACTACAAAGTTCATCCATGTGGACTTCTGTGGAAAAGGGACTGGAGAATCAGACCTTTGGATACATTCTGGGGTAAGAAACCTTTGAGGTGATCTGTTCTGTGAGAATAAAACATCAGGAAATCTGCTTGCTCCCTTTCTCATAGGAAATAGTGCAGCAGTTAATTGAAAATAGCACAACATTCCGAGACAAGACAGAATTTGCTCAAGATAAATATATTAAAAAGAAGAAAAAGAAGTAAGTTTTTGTTTGAAAAAGAAGGGAACATGAAACCTTTTTGTAGATTTTAAAAACATATTGCTAAAAATAAAATATTTTTTTTAACCAGTTTTTAACAATTGGTGTTCTGTTTTTTCTTCCCCCAGATATGAAGCCATCGTTACTATTGTGAAGCCATCCACCCGCATCCTTTCCATTATGTATTATGCCAGAGAACCTGGAAAAATTAAGTACGCGTTGTTTTCTTTCAAACGTGTAATTGGGGGAAATTTTATCTTTAAAAAAGTCATGATTTTAAGTAAAATGAAAAGCTTGCTCGCCTGATAAAGTATCCCCTACCTCATAAATTTTAAGTTCTTTTTACTATCACCTCCAAAGCAATTGATAATATTATCAACATACTTTATGAAACAAACAAAACTTGAAAAATGGTAATTAAAATAACAGGCCTTGCTTAGCTAAAAATGAGTGAATCATTCATTTTTTTTTAGCCACATGAGATACGATACACTAGCCCAGATGTTGACATTGGGAAATATTCGTGCTGGCAATAAAATGATAGTAATGGAAACATGTGCAGGCTTAGTGCTGGGTGCAATGATGGAACGAATGGGAGGTAAGTTTTAACATTTTCAAGTTCATGATTTGAGCAGAGGAGTCTAAGTAAAAAATGTAATCTCGTGGAAAATGATGTTGAATTACTGTGAGGTTATTGCAACGACTTGGGCCTGCACAGCACCAGTCCCCGGGACCGTCCTGCACAGCCCACATCTCCCAGCCTGTGCTGTGTTGGCATGCCCAGATGGCAGTTGTGCTTCCCAGCTTCTGTAGCAGTGGGGATGGTTCTCAAGCCTGTGGCTGGCTAAGACCTCCAGGGCAGTGGTTTCAGTAAACTCTTGGATAGCTGGTGCTCATCTTATTGGCCTGAATTGAGTGGGAGAAATACTAGGGATGTATTTTCTCCCGGAAGATACAACCCAGCCTGATTTGCCTGCCCTTTCTCTGACACATAGACTATAAGAACTTTTAACTGCCTTGTTTGAAAGTAATGGCGCTGGACTTGGGGGAAGCTGGACTGGGGAGAACCAGTTACCAATCATGTGACATCCAAATTTACACAGTCCCAAGGTTTTACTGTAGTATCAAGTAGGGGCAAGCTTGTTTAAGACTTCCTATTTATCTGTTTTGGAATTATATCCATTGGGAATATTCTTAGACTCCAAACTCCCAGAGGAGCTACATCATCTGTCAGCCTCTGAACAGTCAAGTAGAGGGACCTTCAGTCTTCTTACTGTGATGGACCCTGAGGATTTGCAAAATCTAGAGTCACCTTCATCAAGGGATGTTTGTTTCTTTTATCTGTTCAGGTTTTGGCTCCATTATTCAGCTGTACCCTGGAGGTGGCCCAGTTCGGGCAGCCACAGCATGTTTTGGATTTCCGAAATCTTTCCTCAGTGGTCTTTATGAATTCCCCCTCAATAAAGTGGACAGTCTCCTAAATGGAACATTTTCTGCCGAGATGTTATCTTCAGAGCCAAAAGACAGTGCTTCGGTTGAAGAAAGTAATGGCACACTGGAGGAAAAACAGACTTCAGAACAAGAAAACGAAGACAGCATGGCAGAGGCCCCAGAGAGCACTCACCCCAAAGAACCAGAAACATTGGAAATTGTCTCTCAAAACCCAGAGTATAAGGAGCCTAAAGAGAGAGGAAGCAAAAAGGATTATGTAAGAATGTTAAAGAGTCCCCACTGCCCTCACAGTACTGCCCTCAGGGCCTCAGTTAATTTTATCTGAGCACTGAGATTTGATTTGGCTTTGCAGCATCAGCTCCCAAAATCATAAATATCACAACAGATGGAGAAAGAATGTGCATGTGGGTGCAGATGTGTGGTATCTTTGGGATGGAGCTTTATGATACAGAAGCATTGTATATAGGTAGCTTAATGATGGTTTTATAACATGGGCTTGCTTTTGTGTTTTCAGCTTCCGAGTTTTTAGTCCGAGTTGATAAATATTGTTGAAATGTTTTGACAGAGCAGCATTTCCATAAGCCTTACTGAATGACCTCAGTACACTGTTGTTTTTATTTTTCTTGAAGATTCAGGAAAAGCAGAGGAGACAAGAAGAGCAGAGGAAAAGACATTTAGAGGCTGCCGCTCTGCTGAATGAAAGGAACGCAGATGGGTGCGTTGATGAAAGAATGCAGGCAACATTGTGCTGCACACGGGCTCCGCTTCAAACAAACAGATAAGCATTCTCTGTCTGCTTGTCTGCTTTGATTCTAGTGGAGCAGAGAGGATAATTCTGTCTTGGGTTTTTTAAGAAAGGAGGCTGCATCTGGTGGAGGTGCGAAATTGGGCTGGTTTTAGAGTTTTTCAAGAAATTTGACATTTCTCTGATGGTGGTGCATCAGCTGGGGCTGTGTAGTCCCGCCTCAGTGCGGGTGGCGGGGCATTCAGATTGATGGGAAACTGGCTAATGCGAGGGCTGAGGAGACCCGCCAGGGAGAGATTCAGGTGCCTGCAAAGCCAGCATCACACTGTTGGATTTGTTTCCAGATGATTTTTTAAATCAAGAATGTTAAATGCTACTTAGAGTTGCCAAGCACCATGAGAGCTTATAATTCAGTTTGTGTTTCCCAGAAATTAATAGCTCATGATTTTATTTGGGATTTCTGGAATATATAAAGCTCTTCGTTGTATAAGTCACGCAAATAAATGTTATCAATTTAGATGTATTTTAAAACATATGCTTCGTCTTGGGGGCATAAAGAGTAATATATTCAACATCTTTCTTGCAGTTTAATTGTAGCTAGTCGTTTCCATCCCACTCCACTGCTGCTATCGTTGCTTGACTTCGTGGCCCCTTCAAGGCCTTTTGTGGTCTACTGTCAGTATAAAGAGGTAATACTAACGTGGAATGGAGGGGAATTCTTGTATCCGAATGTTGAGCCTCAAATCCTGGCCCTAGAAGTAATTCTTAACAACTTTCTTTATGCCTCCAGCCTCTGTTGGAGTGCTACACGAAACTTCGGGAAAGAGGAGGGGTCATCAACCTCAGGTTGTCTGAAACCTGGCTCAGAAATTACCAGGTACGTGTTCTTATAGCCAGTCCTTGGAGCTGCTCTCCTGAGTCTTTTGCTCTCTGCAGTAGTGCTGGAAATTGTTAAATACAGATATCCCTATTTCTGTCTAGAGGTGAAGTCTCATGCCTGTAACTCAGAGAGAAGGCCTGATCTTTCCTGACCTTTCTTTCTCCGTTCATGTCAGGGTCTGTTGCTCTGTAACTCCAGTCCAGGGACATTTAAATTGCAAACTATTGTGGTTGTGTTTACTCAAGGCCTCAAGATCACTGGAGGGAATAACTAATAATAGCAAGATTCCCAAGCCAAGAGAGTGACCCTCTCATATCTGCTTGGATGTCTTTACAGCAAGTTTTCAGGATTTAATGGTGGGTTCCATGTCAGTTCAGGTCCTCTAGAAGGCATATGTCAAGATGGAATTAGAAGTATAAGAGATTTTATCAGGGAAGATGCCTTTGAAAGATAAGGGGGGGAGGGAGTGGGATTAGGCGGGGAGAGTCATCAGACATGATACAGATCTGGTGCCTGTGAAAGGGGTGGTAGGGGAGAAAAAACATGCAGTGCTGCTCTGAGAAAGTGTCAGCCAGGATCATGGGGAGCCCTAGAGCTAAGACGTTCATGGAGATGTAGCTGCTGGACATTAAAGGAGCTCTGTGTTGGGCAGAAGTGGTGTAGTCCTGGTAGCCATACCCAGTTACCGATTTGGAACAGCCGTAGGGCCTCCCTAGAAGTGAAAGCTACAGCAGATCCCAAAGGAGCAGCTGCTAGAGACTTTCTGCCGCTTGAAATCCTCACAGCCTGTTCCCTCTTGAGAGATCTGAGAGAACACCTCCATATGCCACAGGCCCTGCCCTTCTGCTGGGACATCTTGCTTAATACAGAACATTACAACCCTGGCCATCCTGCCCTTCATGGCAGCCACCTCATTTAGCTGTGGGAGTAGGAGAGAAGTCTTGTCAGTCAGCAGGGCGTTAGGAAAGGGAGGCTCTGGTGTATGTCCAGCAGCTACATTTCCATGGACTCAAGCCCTGCCGTTGGCCGTGAAACGTCCTAGAGCCAAGGGGAAGAAAGCTACTCCCAGGCCCAGAGCACTAAACAAATCATTTGCCACCAGAAACTTGCTTCAGGTTTAAGGGAAACAGCTTCAGTTTTATTTTTCACAAGAAAATCACTAAAACCAACTTAGGTACCTTTACCAGCACTGTCATTTAAAGGAAGGAGCTCCTTAGGAATTGGTCCATTTAAATCTTCCAAAGAATCTGTGTCATTTAAATTCTTGTTTCTGGCATGTTTATTGTTAGCATGTACTTCACCTGCTTAGGAAAACATGAGTGTCTATCTTTCTGTCTTGATTAGGTTTTGCCAGATCGAAGTCATCCCAAACTCCTGATGAGTGGAGGCGGAGGGTACCTTCTCTCAGGCTTCACTGTTGCCATGGACAACCTTAAAGCAGACCCCAGTCTCAAATCCAACTCGAGCACTTTAGAATTACACAAGACTGAAGAGCCAGCAGCTAAAAAACGGAAATGCCCAGAATCTGACTCTTAACCTTTCAAAAGTTGCTTTGATTTTGTTCTCAGGCATTATACAGTTAGTAATTGAACTTTAAATGTTGTTACTAATTGGTTTTTCATATCCTAAGAATAAGATCATGTCTGTACACCTGTTTCTGGGAAAGATAAGCCTTTTGTTCACCTCTGACAGGTGGGGTTGGTCTGTCAAAACCTTGAGCCAAAGTACCCAAGCCTGGCTATGCAGTGCACTGGGATATGGCCAGTTCTGTTTATTTCACAGCACTGCTCTAAGTCCTTTGAGTACTCTGCTGTGTTAAGCTAAGTGGAGTAACACAGCATAGCTAAAACTCGGTGGGTACTTAAAGGAAGGAATTTGCAGAAGAAATTTCCCTATTCATTCCACCCTCTGCAACCTAAGCAATACAGATGTGTGTGTGTTAGATTTACAGTGCCAAAATATCCACCCTGTGCCCTGCAGTGGGAGAAACTTTTTTAAAGTGCCAGAGTTTTTAATTTTAATAGTTGACAACCTAGGAACATCGAGTATTTATTTTATTGCTTTTTTTTTGTTGATAGAAAGGTGTAGTAGGGTACTTTTTTGCATTAATTTACCAATCTCCTCATTCTTTGTTCCAAATAAAATGACTAGAATATTTTGCATACTATTCAATTAAAGGAAACAAAGGGGTTTTTCCCTCCCTAGAGACTTATGGAGATAGAGAGATGGGTGATAGATTGATAGATGATAGATAGATGATAGATGATGATAGATAGATGATAGATAGATGATAGATAGATAGATGATAGATAGATAGATAGATAATAGATAGATGGATGATAGATAGACAGATAAAGACATACCTGTGTACAGTAAGTCCTCATTTAACATNGATGATAGATAGACAGATAGACAGATAAAGACATACCTGTGTACAGTAAGTCCTCATTTAACATTGTCAGTAGATTCTTTGACTTTAAGCAGAATGATGTATACGGAAACCAGTTTTACCATAGGCTAGTTCATACAAACAAGAGTTCTTATGGCATCTCATCAATGTTATAATGAAATGATACTGAGCAAATCAGTGTTATTTGAGGACCTGCTGTATATGGATGTTGGAATATACTCATACCTATAGGTATTTATATATATACACATGGACACAGACAGAATGCACTATCTCTGAACTCTGACAAAGTTTAGTGCAGGGCTTAGACCAGTTCTCATTGCATTAGTGTCACTCCTTGTCAAATGTATTTTAAAGTGCCTTTTTTGGTGATTATTAATGCTGGTTTGTTGAGCTCTGGCATGATTAGGTGGTTAGTCTTTCTAAGCTCTGAAAAAATATAATCACATTATTTGGTCATCTGCTACAGCCAAGAAAAGTGTTTGAAGTAAGCCAAGGCTCTTGTGCATGAGTCTTGCCCACTAAACACGCTCGCTGTATGTATTGTTCATGTTACAGTATAGATGCAGATTACCCCGCGAGGAGCATCTCAGAAAAAATGAAATTGTTTTTCCTAACAGCATGTACTATTCTGATAATGGCCAATGTGATTACCAAGTACAGTTTTGATTCCTTTTTCTTAAAAAAGTTGCTTTTAAAGAATAAAACTGTTTCCTACCATGATCTGTTGGACTGACGTTAATGATGCCATCTGTGACACCGAATTCATGGGCTTTCAGCGGATTGTGACACATGGTCTGTGTAAGAAAACATGCCCTGAGTGGCACCTTGCTGATCATGTCTTTGCAAACAGCCCTTACAGTTGTCACCCACATACAACCAGTCAAGTTTCGTCAAGGGGAACACAACGTGCACAGACTGCATTCAGTCAGTGTCTGGTCTCCACTGGTCACTGTTAGAACCATCTCCTCCTTGGGACTTAGCCAGTTTCCACGTTCCATCCCATTCCATTCAATCTGGGGATCTGCACTACGGAGGCCCTGTGCCCACGTAGGTGCCCCTGGAGTTGATTTGTGGACTGATCTCATGCACCAGCAGCAAGTTAACTCTAACCTTAACAAATTATTTTTTTTAATGTTTTATTGATTTCAGAGAGGAAGGGAGAGGGAGAGAAACAGAAACATCAATGATGAGAGTCATTGATTCATTGATCGGCTGCCTCCTGCATGCCCCCGACTGGGGATCAAGCCCATAACCCGGGCATGTGCCCTGACAGGGAATCAAACCGCAATCTCCTGGATCAGAGGTCGATGCTCAAACCACTGAGCACACCAGCTGGGCTTAAAAAGTTATTTTTCTCTCAATATAGTTTATTTCACCTTTGAGTACTGATTAATTAATTAATTAGTGGTTTGAAAACTTAGTGTGCATCAGGGCCTGGCCAGTGTGGCTCAGTGGAGAAACTAGGAGATGTGCATTTTTGCCTGCTGCTTCTGCACTGAGCTGTGGGGAGCACTGTGGAGGTGCGTGCGAGTACACTGTTAAAAACTGCTGCTTTGCTACATATCTGTGGGTCTCATGGACCCAAGCCCCACTGGCTTTCAGAGCGAGGTGTCCTGGGAGGCCATCCTCAAGTGAGAGTCTTAAAAGTTGGGGTGCTAGAAGAAGCTAGGAGTTGAAGGGTTCCCTCTCAATTGTTTGGCACTGTGCCACAGTTGGGTTTATGCCAAGAGTGTGTCTCAGCCTTTTCTACCCGCTTCAATACGGGCATTTTCTCATTCATCTGATGTGTAGAAGTTGCTTAGCTAGTTTCTGGATTTCTCTCAGAATGAGTTGCTCTGCGCATGGCTGTACACTCAGTGTGCCCATGGGAGGAAGGACTTTTAGAACACCCCCCTCCACGCTGCCATCTTGGTCCCCTCATATGATGCAAATCTTATATTTTTAATACATACAAACTTGAAAAAGATTAGGGTGCTTGCATTTTGTTTTAAAGCATTGGTTGTAAATATTGCAAGAGCAACACAATACTAAAAAGCATTGCCTAAAAATCTAATCATTAAGATTCATGCTGTTCTAAATCAGCGATTTTCAGCAGGTGGGTGTGCCGCAAGAACTTTTAAAACATGCAATACCTGACTGTTTAGTCAGGGGCACTGACCTCTTTTTCCTTAGACTGTCAAATAATAAAATGACAACAGCCAACATAGCAATAGCTGTCCAATGTGAATGAATCAAAATTATACCTATTTTTTGTCAGATCAGCAAAAAATACATATTTTTGGTGTCCCGCAGAATTTTAGTAATTAGTTTACATGTGCCCTGAGATGAAAGAGGTTGAAAATCACTGTTGTAATTGTCCCTGATTTTGGAATGTTTCTAAGTGCAGTTCTAGAAAGGACCCAAGTGTAACTAATTTCTTTACTTGAAATATAATGTTGCCTCTAGGCTAGTATTAATTTTTGTAAAATAGATTACAGATTTTTTTCTTGGACTTAACTATCTAGCACAGGTCAGATGGCAAAGAAATATAAGTGCCTGAATAGCTACTTACAGAGCAACTGATAAGCTGGTGACTATCCCCATTGACATATATTAGGTACTCCCTGCTTTTTGGCAAAATCTTGGAAGCGTAGGAAATATCATATTACCTCCCTCCCCTTTTTTTTGCCTCTTACAGTTCCACTAAAATCTGGGCTTTAGGCATTTAACTGAGATACTAAAACAAGACTAGAAAGATCCTGACATTTCAATTTCACGTTGACAAGGTAACAAGGCGTTAAAGAAATTTTGTGAGTGGGCTCAATCTGTTTTAGTGATGTCACTCTAAACCAACAAACTGTAAACAGTACAGAAATTAATCCAGATGGTGGAGGGAAGGAGAACAGAGGTTCCTCTGCCTTTTGGGAGTACTTGCCACAAATGAGTGGGTGATGGGGTCTCTCCCAGCTCTTTCCATCACCTGTGAGTGACATATGGTGACAGTCAAGGAAGAGAGCAGGCAAAAATAAGAAAAAATATGATTATATGATTGATTTACATCGGGGTCAGCAAACTACAGCCCACAGGCCCAATCTGGCTAACTGCCAGATTTTGGCATGGCCTCCAAGCTAAAAATGGTTTTTCTATTTTTAAATGGGTGACGGGGGAAAGCAAAAGAAGAATAGTTTTGTGACGTGTAAAAATTACATGACATTCAAATTGCAGGGCCCGTAAATGAAGGTTTAGTGGAGCACAGCCATGCTGTTTGGTTTATGTATTGTCCCCTGGCTGCTTTCATTCTATGGCAGAGGTGAATAGTTGTGAGCGAGACCATATGGCCCTCAAAGCCATGTGCTCCCTGGCTCTTTAAGAAAAAGTGTGCTGACCATGGATTTTAGTGATTCTTCTGGGTCCCCCAGACCTGCTGGCAGCCTCTGACATGGTTGACCTCTCTCCTTGCTACAGTTTTCCTCACTTAGCTTCTAGGACAGCACTCTCCTGGTTTCCCTCCTGCCTTTCTGGTCTTTCTTCCTCCATCTCTGTTGCTGGTTCCTCATCACCTCTGAGGTGAATGTCTAGAAAAACATCGCACCAATTGGCTCACCAATTGCACCCCTTCACTTTTTTGTCTACTTTTTCCTACACTCGCTCCCTATGTGGAGGGATTTGGGAAATGATGAAAGAAAAAGATTGACCATGAGGTGGCAGTAGCACACATGCTTTACTGTATAAGGATTGATATCTGGCAGGTTTTGAAGTGGGGGGAGATGTCCCTCACAGCAGAAATCTGTCCTGAAGCTACACCTTAGAAGTAGAGGGGGGCAAGGGAACTCCCAGGGAGAGGGGAATTGGAGAGGTCCCTTCTGTGTCTAGCTATGCAGCTCAGCAGTGTGGAAGGGAGTTGCTGGGTCTGAGAACGCTGAGGGGAAGAAGTCTTATAAGGCTTGGAGTTTTATAACCACAAGATTTTATTTTATCAATGGCCAGCAGATGCTGGGTGTAGTTTTGTGGAGATATGCCAAGCAGGTGGGCTCTAAATGTCTAAACATTTGCTCATTGGGCCCGGCTAGGCGTGGCTCAGCGGTTGAGATCACTGTTCGATTCCCAGTCAGAGCACGTGCCCAGGCTGCAGGCTCGATCCCCAGTCGGGGGTGTGCAGGAGGAAGCTGACCAATGATGACTCTCATTATTGGTGTTTCTATCTCTCTCTCTGAAATCAATAAAGATATATTTTTTAAAAATTAAATAAACATTTGCTCATGTGGATGATGTTTAAAATAAATGGATGTAGGGAAGAAACAACACGGCGGCATAGGGAACAGCTGCACCCACCACCTCCCGCAACCACATCAAAATGACAACTAAAACACAGAACCACCGTCACTCAGAGCCTCCTGAGATCCGGCTGAGCAGAAGCCCCAGAACCAGGGAGCTGAAAAAGCACCAAGACCGGGACGAGGGGCGGAGACACGGCCATGGGCCCACCCCCGGTGCTGCGGTTTAAACCTGGGAGGGAATCTCGGNGCAGAAGCCGGAGAACCAGGGAGCTGAAAAAGCACCAAGACCGGGACGAGGGGCGGAGACACGGCCATGGGCCCACCCCCGGTGCTGCGGTTTAAACCTGGGAGGGAATCTCGGCGGTGGGGGTTTCCCNTGGTGAACACCAAAGCTCTACTGAAATAAATCCTGCTCCATAGGGGTGTCTCCAGCACAGCAGCTCTTTNAGCAGGCCCCAGCCCAGGGCTCCAGAGCCAGGAAGAGACATCCCCAGAACTTAGGGCAGTGAAACCAGTGGGGACTGTCACTAAGGGTCGCAGAGGCTGCGGGAGCCCCAGCAGCTCCTCTAAAGGGCCCNGGCCAACAGCAACCAAGGCTTAGCTACAACAGGACAGTGCACACAGCCCACACAGGGGAGCACCTGGAAGGCCCAGCTCAGGTGACTGGGGAGACTCAGCCACTGGGCCCTACAGGACACCTACTACACAAAGCCACTCTACAAATTCCAGGAGACATAGCAGCTCTACCTAGTACATAGAAAAAAACACCTGGAAGCAGCCAAAATGTGGAGGCAAAGAAACATGTCACAAAGGAAAGAACAGAAGAAATCTCAGAAGAGGAACTCAATGAAATAGATCCAAGCAAGCTAACAGAAACAGAGTTCAGAATTTTGTTTATAAGGATGTTTAAGCATATTATTAGTGAAATAACTGAGAAAATCAATAACATAATAAAGTACCAATTTGAAATGAAGGCTA